GGCAGGCTTTGAAAAGAGCCGCTCTGAAAAGAAAAGCATCCCTGTGACAGTATTTCGCTCAGTTGGCGAGCTCATTGGCGACTGGCGCCACATAGTGATGCCATGTGACTGCGCGACACCTCCAAGGTGACCGCGCACGCCGTGCAAGTGCACTTATCATGCGTGCATCGTCTTGAAACAGTGCGGCAGCTTTCTGCTTAGCCCCACTCGTTGATGCCGCGAGCATCGTCACCCAGCATGCCACCGAAGCGAGGGTCGTCATTCATCAGCTTGGCAAAGAAGAAAATGCCGCCGATGGTGAGGCCAATGACCACTGGAAAGTAGATCAGTGCCGGCAGCATCTCGCCATCATCATCCATCTTGATCCTTGTCTCCGGCTCCACTGACCACATGTTGCCACGCCTGTCCTGGTCCACAGACGTGCCAACTCGGGCCTGTGCGTTCATGAGGCCCATGTCTGGCTTCGGCATCTTGAACGGATCTGAATCTTCCTGCTCCGCCTTCTCTGTCTCCTTGGTGCCTGGTGTCGGCAGGGCACGCAGGGCCTTTCCTTGCCTCACGCTGCCCGGCGCTGCCACGAAGGTGGATGCCAGCCAAGTGCAAGCCGCCATGGCCAGCACGCCGGACAGCAAACCGCGAGAGCGGCCCACCATCTTTGAAACAGCTGGCTTCTGAGCAGTCACAGGGGATTGAATGAGTTACTCTTCATTTGAGCCCGTGAATGCACGCGATGCAGCCATGCCGCTTCATGATGCAGCGGTGACATGCGATGACTCGCGCTAGTGCAGCGCTCATGAAAAACACACATCTGACACATCTGCTTTATGGATTGTGGGCCATGGGGGGCTGCCTTTGTTTGCAGGCTTATCTGCTGCAACGTAACCCTGGCCGCAGTGTCCTACTTGCTCGACCTCCGCATGCCAATTTCAGATGCTGCACTCAACTTTCATGGCAATGGACCTCAAACCTCCATGCAAGTCCTGGGCCGTACTTGTCATTTCGCCACGCAAGATAGCGAGATTCCATCCACAAATGCGTTCTCAATGTCTCTCGCTCACCCTCCCCTAACAACCAAAGCCAATAAAGGTTTTTTGGCATGTGGACTTTTCATCTTCTGAGTTGCAGCGGCTCGCGAAAATTGACGGTTCCGTGAAAAATGCTATCGGACTCGTTGTGAGTCCTGCGTGAACCAAACAACAAACCAACCATGAATCCCCAACACCTGCGCCCATACTGCCTGCCACCTTCCACGCATGCCAAGCCTTCGCTGCATGTCTGCACTTATCCCCACTCGTTGATGCCGCGAGCATCGTCACCCAGCATGCCGCCGAAGCGAGGGTCGTCATTCATCAGCTTGGCAAAGAAGAAAATGCCGCCGATAGTGAGGCCAATGACCACGGGAAAGTAGATCAGTGCCGGCAGCATCTCGCCGTCATCATCCATCTTGATCCTTGTCTCCGGCTCCACTGACCACATGTTGCCACGCCTGTCCTGGTCCACAGACGTGCCAACTCGGGCCTGTGCGTTGATGAGGCCCATGTCTGGCTTCGGCATCTTGAACGGATCTGACTCTTCCTGCTCCGCCTTCTCAGTCTCCTTGGTGCCTGGTGTCGGCAGGGCACGCAGGGCCTTTCCTTGCCTCACGCTGCCCGGCGCTGCCACGAAGGTGGATGCCAGCCAAGTGCAAGCCGCCATGGCCAGCACGCCGGACAGCAAACCGCGAGAGCGGCCCACCATCCTTCCAGCTTCTTGCCTACAAAGCAAGTCCCGAAGCTTGAACATCAAGGATTCATTCAAGCATGGTCATGGCACAGAACTCCGACGCCGGGCAAATGGCTGTGGGTCAAGAACATGTACCCAAAATGGAATCCTGGTAAATGGAAACATGGACCAAAACCTGCGGTTTTTCTGGTGACTAATTTTGACCCATACCCAAATGGCTTTGAGGGCAGCACAAGTAGTACGGCGTCAGATTGGGAATCAGCGGGATCACCTCAGCGAGGTCGAAGCCCACAGCGATGCTTCCACCTGTTAGATCCCCGACAATTGAGTCATACTCAAAACCCAATATTAAATAGGCTCAGGTGATATCCCCAAAAGCATGCGGTGCTCTTTTTAGTGCTCGCCGTGGAACCTTGGTGGAACCTTGGTGGAACTCTGGTAGAACCCTTGCGGAACCTTGCCTCAGGCCGCCCCGGACCATGCCGGAGCCTATCTGGGCTCCAAAGCTTTCAGCTGTTGGGGAAAAATGGTCTACCCAGAAACCCGTGGAAAGAATGAATTGAAATGGCGGCCGCACCTACACCCATCCATGGCAAGGGGATTGTCCCTCGCCCCTTGGCCTACAGCCAGCCTCAGCCCATCTCAGCCCACAGCCAGGGGCGGCCTTCCTGCGGTGGGCACCACCACCAGCCTCAGGCGAAACCCGCGGGGGGTCCCCCCCAAAAAGCTTGGGGTTCAGGGTGTGGGGTTTTGGGGTTTAGGATGGTTTAGGGTTTAAGTGCCGCGCCGGCCGCGCCAAGGGAAAGCCCCAGAAATGCACTTCGACCAACCCCCTGCAGTACTCAGTAAGGGAATTTGCAACGCGCCCCACAAAGAACCAGAACACTACAGCCGAGTACGCTTGAGTGCTTAATCAACCGTTGCGAGTTGTTCAATTGCTTTTTCTATCACATATATCTCTCGGGGTATCCTGGGCGGTCATTGATCTATTTTGATTGGGTACTCAAGGACACGCCTGATCCTTTACAAATAATAATAAGCAGGATCGCTTGTCAACGCTCTCCCACTCAAGTTATTTCTGTATGAATCTTCATTATCCCCCAGAAGGGTACATTCTGAAGTCTGCCGTTGCGATTTTGTTTGGCTCCTTTTTTGCAGATCAGGCACAAGGAAGCCACAAAACATGGTCAAACATGTTAAAAGAAGGGTGGTGCATAGGTCATGTATTGCTGGGTTTGAGCGCTTCGCTGGTGAATTTCTGGAAACTCCAGCATGTTGACGTTTTAGTCCGTGTTTGCGATGATTTTGGGAACAGTGAATATTCATTTAGAAGAATCTTGAGTGGGAGAGCATTGCTCGCTCATGAACGGGATTGAGAGGTTTACGGCTCTCTTCCCAGCCGATAAGGAGGTGACTTCCAGGCCGGCAGGCCTCTTTTCCTCTCGAGACTTGCGTCGCTCGCTCACTCCAAGGTGAGCAGGCCACGCTTCATCAATGCCTGGCGCAGGTACGCGTGGTCCGTGCCCTTGTTGGGAGGCCAGGCAGACTGCTTAGCAAGCTCTTGCGACGGCGTCGGGCTGCCGTAGAAGAGGATCTGGTGGGGGTCCTGAGCCAAACTGGACCAAGGTGACTTGCGTGCTCAGGCTCAAGAATCACACGAGGAAAGGAACGGTTGGTCAGGTTGGTGGAGGGCTTGTTGCATCCGGCAAACGTGTGTAAGGCCTTGTGGGCTTTGAATCATTTCAGGCCGAAAACATATGAGCGAACTAGCCCCCAGAGAGCCACAGCTCCTCCTACTCCAAGACCCCATTCAAAGGCCCGCATTCCAAGGCGCAACCCGCAAGGAGAACTGCTCAAAGACGAACCGAGTCCAGTCGATGTCCGAGGCTGGGCGGAGGACTGAGGTGCCATCTGGCGCATGCCTGCCCGGCACATCGTGGTCGCCTCCCCATCGGCAGTCCATGACCACGTGGTCCTCTGCGCAGCCCGTCCACCCAGTACAGCTCACCTCAAGGCGAGCTTTTGGAGAAAAAGTCAAACAAAGCGCCAAAAAAGCACATCTTGGGCGGCGGAGTAACGTGAGGAAACCCAACCTTGGCCCCCTCCTCCTGCCCCAAAGCCCCCCAAAGCCCCTTTCTTGGTTGACGTTGCTCTCTTTGGGGATTTCCACCACTAAACCATGATAAGCAAAAATGAAAACTGTTTCCCAACAACCACCAGGCTTTTCCGCGCCAATTCTGGCCGGCTTGCCGTGGCCGACTGCCGCCAGTGCTGCTGGGCGCTGCAACGGCTCTGCTTCGCAAAGAGCGCCCCGAGGCGCGCGGAGCGCTCTGTGCAGTCCAGGGTGTCCTTCGGCCGGGCCAACGAACCATTCGAGTCAGAATCAAATTCAGTATTAAATATAAACGGAATTCCGCCACTATTTCTGGCGACTGCCCCTTCCTAACCTTCATCTACCCCGGTTTTGATTGCGGCTCATTTCGAGCGCTTCCCTTTGACACCCCCGTGTTGATGTCTTGTGGTGGGGCTTCAAACCTTCGCAAGACCACAAGGCCATCTGAGGGGAACCAAATGGCAAAATGCCCAACATATTGCTGCCCAGTTCCGCCGTGCCGCAGTAGTTGATGTAAGATATCGGCCTGCGACACGTTGCGAGGACGAAAAGTGCATGCCAGAACCGCGAGCGGCCAAACAAGGCTCTCTAGAAAACTTCCCCCTCCCCCGCACAAAGCCGAAAAGAAATATGAGAAGCCGATGCCTCGCACTCTCGCAGTAGAATTCGGATGGAAAGTCGGGTGAGGCGTTGGGGGCCAAGAGCTGGAAGAGATGGCTCCTGTGGCATGCCAGCACCTGCGCAAAGTGGCCCCCATAGCTGAAGCCCCCGGCAAAGACCTGGCACCAGAATGGAAGCGGATTGAAGAGCCCATGGTCGATCAACGGCGTCCCATTTTTTGGTTGGGATGAGCGCTAGGGCAAACACGGCCGAACAAGAACCTTTCAGCGTGTTCCAACTTGGGGGTCGGCGATTCAAATCCGCCGAATTGGCAATGGAGGCTAATTTGCTGACCCTAGAAGTTGCGATGGATCAAGTGAACAGCTTGGGAAGAAACATGGGCCTCGGATGTGTCGATGCACGTCTCCCTGGCCATCCACTCGAAGATGGCATCCACAAACCGCAGGTTCAGATCGTTTTTCTCGGGTGGGAAACCACACGCACCCTCGTCCTGGTACATGACAAACCTGGACTCCAGGCAACCTGAGCTGCCCCAATGGCTGGGGTAAGGCACCTTTGGCCGGCGCTTTGGCACCAAGACACTAGGAGCCAAAAGAATCAAATTCCTGCCAACCATTTCAGAGCTTCAGTTCAGGTCATCCCCGCACAGCTGCGCGCAGCACTGGCGCTGCCCACCCATGCTGGTGGTCTCATTCTCCGGAATGCCCCAGGGGAGGATACCGAACCAGCCGTAGCGCTCCAGCTGGTCGGGCAGGCCAAGCAGCCGCAAAGAGAAGAAGGGAGACTGGTACATGCCATGGAAGAACATCATGGCCGGGATCTTTGCCACAGGTGCCTCAGGTCAGGAAACAGCTGTCACCCCAGCACTCTGAGAAGGCCGTGCAAACCATAGAGCCCCACACCCACACACACACACACACCCGCACACACACACACACAAACACACAAACACACAAACACACACAAACACACAAACACACAAACACACAAACACACACAAACACACAAACACACAAACACATAAACACACAAACACACGCAAGCACGCAAGCACGCAAGCACGCAAGCACGCAAGCACGCAAGCACGCAAGCACGCAAACACGCAAACACGCAAACACGCAAACACGCAAACACGCAAACACGCAAACACGCAAACACGCAAGCACGCAAGCACGCAAGCACGCAAGCACGCAAGCACGCAAGCACGCAAACACGCAAACACGCAAACACGCAGACACGCAGACACGCACGCAGACACGCACACGCAGACACGCAGACACGCAGACACGCAGACACGCAGACACGCAGACACGCAGACACGCAGACACGCAGACACGCAGACACGCAGACACGCAGACACGCAGACACGCAGACACGCAGACACGCAGACACGCAGACACGCAGACACGACAGCAGACACGCAGACACGCAGACACGCAGACACGCAGACACGCAGACACGCAGACACGCAGACACACGCAGACACGCAGACACGCAGACACACAGCACGCACACGCAGACACACAGACACACAGACACACACGACACACACAAACACACAACACACAAACACACACAACACACAAAACACACAAACACACAAACACACACACACAAACACACAAACACACAAACACACAAACACAAACACACAAACACACAAACACACAAACACATAAACACACAAACACACAAACACACAAACACACACACACACACAGACACACAGAGACACGCAGACACGCAGACACACAGACACACAGACACACAGACACACAGACACACAGACACACAGACACACAAACACACAAACACACAAACACACAAACACACAAACACAAAAGCACACAAGCACACAAACACAAAAACACACAAACACACAAACACACAAACACACAAACACACAAACACACAAACACATACACACACAAACACACAAACACACAAACACACACACACACACACAGACACACAGAGACACACAGACACACAGAGACACACAGACACACAGACACACAGACACACACACACACACAACCGTCAAGCTGGCTAAAGGGCCTGGCTGCTACAGGCCCATGGCCTTGCAACCCATTCCCAGCGCCCTGTCACGCAGCCAGCGTCCAAGTTTTGCATGTGTATCTACATATCTATATAATATTCCACATGTGTCTGCATCAAGGAACGGGTAGCGAGTTCCATGTTTTCTTGTGAGGTCATCATGACCAGCATCAGTGAGGCTGGCCAAGTCTGTCCGCTTCACCTGATGCTGGTGATCTGTAAATGTCAGGGGGCCAGTCATCGGCATTTCAGCGACTCAAAAGCTTGCCCCTTCAGCCTTTCCAGCCAGGAGGCATGGTCCCGCGGCACAATGAACAAGAACTGGCGCTGGAGCTCGGGCAACTGCACGATGTGCTGCCCAGGCCCATAGCCACCTGAGCAGTCTCCCAGCCGGTGCTTCTGCTGCAGGAGCGACGTGCTGAGGTCCTCCAGGTCCACGTCCACATGCTCCCCCCGACAACTGATAAGCGTCGCCAAGGCAGCAAGGGACAAAAACGCCATCGCGTGGAACCTATGGAAGCAGGACCACGCGAAAAAAGACTATGTAGGCATGGTATCGTCAGCTGGAGAAAAATGATTCGCCGGGCAAAAACGAGATGTGCGAAGCATTTGGACCATGAGTGCCCTCCTCTGTCCAGTATTTCCGCCCTTGGGGAAGAGGCAGGGTTCTTGTAGCTTCCTCGCATACAGGGACCCCTTGGATGCTTCCAAAGGGAAGCCAAAGGGCACGCCCCTTTTCCGTAATAGATTTTCCTCTAAAACTTCTTGAGCGCCTCAAGTATAAAACATAAGTAGCACTCTTTGGAACCCTCCCTGCAGTTTGCTCAACAGCACTCCAGAGCTCAGCAAACGGAGAGGACCTACAATCGACAAGGACCGATACTAAACCAATACAAAACAACAGTTCTACACAGTTCTGCACAAAATGACTCCGATACCAAATTAGTACCAAATCCAACACTGAAGAATCCTAAGTCAAACTACTGGAAAGGATCAAGTGTTCACGAGCTTCCCCTTTGGGCTGGGTTGGGGGGGCAGGCAGATGTTCAGCATTTCTTTCCTCTCAGGGAGACTTAAATATTACATTGCTTTTTATAGTTGTTCAGTTTTTTGGGCTTCGAATTTGACCAGGTCCCCACAACTGTGGATTCTTGCTCGGTAGTCCCGCGGCTTTTCTGTTCCTCACTTGCAAAAGGACAGAAACGCAGAGTTGGATTGTCGCTGAAGGACTCGGCAGCCACATTGATGGCTCTCTCGGGTGTCCGCAAATCCATTGCTTCGGCTTTGGGCCCCGAACCTGGTGCCACCAAAAATAATTGCCCGCCCGCCGGAGCCGTGACGCTTTGTTTCTTTCTTTGGGCGCATGGCGCCAGGGACCCGGGCAGAGTAAAAGAAATGGTCGGGCGCCAGTGCCAGAAGACTTGCGCCCCACTGCCCCCGGCAGTTGATGAATTGCAGCGGCTCTCAGATTGTAGTTGATCCCTCCCGCCAAACAGATATGTAAATACCAAAATCGTCGACAATTCAAACTTAAAACCAGCATCCGTGCGAAAAATACTTGGGGACTGAGTAGCGTACCACAATCAATTTCGTAGAAGTTTCAATTCATGGCAGAGTTGTTCAGCAAACTTTTTCCAAGACGCTGTGACACTGGTCCAAGAACTTTGGAGCATACCTTTTTGAGCATACTCCAATCCTCCCATGAGGATTCCTTTTTCTGGATGCTCAAAAGTCGAACACGGGTCCCGGAAATTGTCCAAAGGCTCAGGTGCCGACGCGGTGTGCTGCGAGGCGTTCTCCGCCGTAAACCTTGCGCAAGGAGCGGTTCGCTGGTGGAACCTCTCGCTTGGCGACTGAAAGCTGGGGATTGGTGAAATCCCTCCCCCCCCCCAAAAAAAAAAAAAAAACCTCCCTCCAAAACAAAACAGCCCCAAAAGGCCCGAGGGGAACACGACTTGCTGGCGCCCAGCGGGGAATGAGGGAATGACCCTAATTCACCCTCCCTTGTGGTTTCCTTTGAGGAGAATCCTGGGTTCATTCCCACATTCCCTACTGAGCACCGGCAAAACCAAGGGCAAACAACTGCAACCCCAACCCACACCAAAGGACCCTGCTGCCTCAAAGCCTCCGTCTCTCCGCCCTAGGCCCGGCACGCAAGGTACTCCCCGTGAGGCCCCCAGCACAGCGTGAAGTCCAAGCCTCGATGCTTCAGAGGATCGCAACCGCGAAAGGTGGCCGTATGCCCTACCTTCAGGCTGCAATTCCACTTGTCCCACTTGTCTGGCAGTCCAGGTCACATGCCAGGAATCAGAAATCACCCCCCGATCGCCCCATTCCATTTATTCCTGATCAACATCGCAAGGCGCGAGATGCTCGGCTGCCAACAATGTGCCGGCGTGGGCAGCCACACGGTTTCGCCTGTCGCAAGTGGAACGCCAGAACCGAACGCCGGTGGGGGGTCCACAATTCCATTCTCCCAGTTTGCTTTTCCGCGGAGAAGCGAAAATGGAACCATCAACGGGAAATTCCAGGGATCACCCCCTCCCCCAATTCCATGATTTTGTTGGGGGTCCAACATGGCCCATGGCCTCCGTCAGGCGGAACCAAGGCAAGGCCATCATGATGGCAGACCTCTGCAACAAACACCCCCAATCGGCGCTCGCTCTTCCAGCCAGTGTATCAAAAGCAGACTCCTTAACATAGAATGTCCATGAGACATTCTGCGACCCACACGGCCGTCAAAAATAGGTACCAAAAAAGGAATCCTGATAAATGGAAGCATGGACTAAAACCTGCGGTGGTGGTTGATTTTGACCCATACCCACATGAATCTGTGAAGCCAACCAAACCGATCTGCAGCAAAGATTCATCGCCTCTCTGAGCCCTTGACGGCCACCATGTTGCGGACAGAACACCTGGATGGCATGAGCCATGCGGCGGAAATCCAATTCGCACCACGAAATAAAACCGTGGTTGAGTGGTATTTACAGGGGGAATCGAATCAGAAACCTGGTTTCTGAAAGGTGGTGCGAAATGGATTTCGGCCATCCACAGTAGCGTGCAAAAGGCTACTGCAATCGCACGGGCGGCAATTGCCGGCCTTGCATGGGCCTGGTGCACTGCAAAGGTCCAGCCTGCACAGCGTGCAGTGGTTGCAGATCGGCCCCTGAGATTGACAAAAAGACCAAGGTTCTGCATGGTGCAGATAGGGCCGCTGAGATGTGAATTTCAACGAGCTCTGCATGGCTGGCAAGCCCTTGGCCGTTGTGCGTTGCCGCCTGTGTTGCTTGGCCAAACGACACCAAAACCTTTGCCGCCCGCATCCGGCGCCTGGAGACAGGCCATCCCTCCTGGCCCAATCAAGTGGCAGATCATTGCGTACGTTTCTCAGATGCGGTGACCTAAAGCTGCATATCCTAAAGCCAGAACTAGCTACGATGACTTCAATCGATGTTGATTACTCAGCAGCCAAAAAACAAACACACGGTTTATATATATATATATATATGAGGTCGAGTATAGCCATGTGATGGCGGTCAGCCAAGAGAAGACTCAGCTATCCATGCGCCTCGCCAAAGAAACCAGGTTGTTTGCAACTGTTACAACTTGCTGGCCGGATCCACGTGAACATCCGAAGGCTTGCGTCAGCCAACGCTGCCAGTCTGCCCCATTCTGGCCCCATTATTTACCATTGTCAGCGCCACTCCCTGAGTGATAGCTTCAGGGGAAACATTGTTTCCCCAGCTTATGACTTTGATTCTCCCTAGAAAACCCGTCAAAAGAAGGACCAGCCATCTGCTTGGGGCCTTCCCCTCGCTCACCGCGCTCTCACCGCGCTTCGCGCTCCGCGCTCCGCGTGCACGGCTCGTCCTCAGCCAGGCACTGCTGCCCTGGGGGCAGAGCGCCGCAGCCAGGCGCAGAAGCTCCTAGGCGGCCCGGCGCTGCGTCCGCATGTTGACCCCGTAACATGAACTTCAACCCACCAGTTCAATTGGGGGTGTCCCTGGGAAAGAGCGGAGGCAGTGATATCAAGGTTGAAGCTCAAGTAGCGCCAGAGGATTCCGTTTTCGGCATGTGGCGCGGATTGATCCACTCAGCCGTGTGGAAGAAGTGTCCCTGGGTGAAATGTGAAGAAGCAGACCACTCTTGGAGGTTGTTTATTAGTATGTTAGTAGGGAAGCATCAACCAACCAGCTTCTGAAAATAGGGGGTGTCCGATTCTGGGTGAAATGGGGTTGGAATCAGACCATTTTGGGAGGGGCCCAAAAAAAACCGCCCCCCTATTGACAAACAGGGGTTGATTTTAAAGGTACCCTTTTGGTTGGACAAAAATGTGGCGCGAAGGAAAGGAAAAAGCATCACCAAGTATCGACCACATAAGCCTCGGAGAGCCAGTGAGTAAACAAAAAACAGGGCCCCTGGACCTTGACGAGGAGCTACCTGCGGACACACTGTTTCCAGCTGTCGCTCGTTCCCTTTACTTCAGGGCTATGAGTGATTATCTGGGAAGTAGGAACCTCGTATCCACTACCCAGCTCACGTCCTCATTTGGCGACCGGGTCGGTACGCTCTGGTAACTTGAGTAGATGGGCCAGTCCTCTCAGTTGTTCACTGACCCTGGAGAAAAAAAGGAACCTGTTTTTGGGGAAAACCATTTTTAGTGGGGCAGCCACCCCCAAAAAAAAAGAGGAAAAAGGGTGCCACTGAACAACTGAGTCCTTGTTTCAGTTATCATGATCTTCCCAAAACGCATCCACTCCGTTCACTCTACGAAACCCCGCCGGGGCCTCGTCCTTGCAGAGCTGATGCCAAAAGCGGCGGTTGCCCTTCCCGAGCCGCGCCAGCTCCTAACCCGCAGGGGAGCTGGAAGCATCTGGCGTTTCATGTGGGTTGCCCCGCCAGATTCATCCATCGGAAAAGGGGAGTCCAACTAGCGCTTCGACAATTAGATACTTGGGAGGCGTGGTGACAGATTCTGGCAACAGAAAGACCTATACACATGCTCCGCCGCCCTTTTGGTCTGCGGGCCCACCGCATGTGCCGTGGATGTGCAGAGCCTTACGAGCCCGCAGTCAACAAGTGGGCGGAGGCGCAGGCAACGAGACAAATGTGCCTGGGCCAAGGCTCCCACGGCTCCATCCCTGGCCATTCACCGAGCGCAGGTGAAGAATCCATTCAAGCGCAAGCCCCAGCTTACCATAGCAAGCGCGGCCTGCATCACACAACCACCCTTCCTTGAACTCCACCAAGGATACAACAGGCTCTTGCTTCCGGGCCTTCTGTCTTGCTACGAGTGTGGTCTGCCGGGAGGCTCTCGGTTCACGGCCAAGGCGTGAATTCGAGCTTTGATCTGACACTGCCCAGGGCTAAGTTCTCCTGTATTCATGCAATGCAAACGAATTCAAGCCTCCGGGCGCCTGTACCAAGAGCATTTCCTGGCGCTGACTGAGCGCCCCTGCCACGGCCGTGGCCTCGCGCACTCACGCACGTCAGAGTCACCGACGGTCCCGCGCTTGGAGCCAAAAGCGGCGTTGGCGGAATGCTCGTGCACGGGGCTGGGGGTCTCACTGCAATCCGGACTGCGAGATGAGTCGCGCGCCAGCTGCGCAAGGTTTCCGCTCACGGATCGTCCAAGCCATTGGCGTCCACCGGAAATCCCGCCTGAAGCTTCAAGCGCTCTGGCATGGACCCCATGGGCTCCACGATGGACTTGTGACAGAGCGAACATGCCGATGCTCTCATGGACTGGTCTTGCATCATCTCCTTTCCAGCAGCGCTGCGGCCGTCCACAACAGTCGCCAGAATGCTGACTCGCCGGGCTCGCGCTGGCAACCGGACCGTCGCTCCGTTGCGACCAGTCAGACCCAGGCCGCTCCGTCGCGAAGGTTCCGCTCAGAGCTCGTGGCCACCGGGGCGAGGCGCTAACGGAGCGTCCGCGGGGGCTGGTGGAGCGAGCTCTATACTTCCCAGCGCTGGAGCCATCTTTGTCCCGGCATCTGACACTCACAGATCGCCCGCGCCAGGGCCAGCTTCCTTGGGGCTCGCTGGAGCCGCGCTCCATGAGTTCAAGCTCCAGTAGCTATTCCCTGCTCTTGAGCCAACGGAAAACTCCGCCTACGTCTGGGTTGACGTTGGAAGGGGAGCAAAAAAATCAAACGTCAGCAGCTAAGTGGTTTGATTTCAACCACTAAACCACAATAAGCCAAGAAAAACGCAACATAATTTCCCAACAACCACCACGACGTGCTCCACAAACCAGCCGGACGAAGAAAAAGACCGACCCGAGCTCTGAACACCCCGCGTCCTTCGCCTCGCAGCAGCGGGCCACCAGGGCCAGCAGGTCCGCCGTGGCCTTGATGCAAAAAACGGGCCGTTGAGGTGAAAATCTATGGGCTGACCTTGGCGCCCTTTTCTCATCTGCCATTTGCTTAATTAAGCCCCCTGGAAAAACGAATAACACATATGTCCAGTAGTGAAATCGATTCCCTGTAAAACCAACAGGGGAAAATTAAAAAAACAAGATGTTCTTAAGCAAATGGGGGTCATTGGAGTAGTCCTTCCAATGGGTTGTGTTGGCTCATCGTTTGGCCAAGCCAAACTTATCCTAACTCTAACTTCAACCCGACCTTCAAATTTCAGCTCGGAACCCTCAAGCTGGGCCAAGCGGCATACCCTTTTCCAGCGCAAAAAGATCAAGTTCGGAGTTTCCGCCCGCGCCTTGCAAAAATATGTATATATATATATATATATAAATAATAGAAAAAAAGAAAAGAAAGATGAAAACAGCCAACGGTCTTTCTTCTTCCGTCGGACTTGTCTGAATTTGCTCGTCTGGAACCCTCCTGCCATGCCATCCGCCGGCCTCCAGGCTCGAAGGCGGCGCCGTGTCGCTGGACACCGCCAGCCTCAAAGCGCATTGGGGTCACGCGATCGGTGCGATAGGGAAGGAGAATTGGAATGACCCAAATCTAAGGGTTGATCCCATGTCCATTCTTTTCAACCATCTTTCTTTTTCAAACCCCGGCTGTTACCCTTGGATTTTTGGATGGTTTCCTGAAAAGATTCGGATCCCTGGAAAGAATGGAAATGGAAGGTAGCCGTACAATACACCATTTCTGGTGGCTTCCTTCAAGGGGAATTTTGAATTTTCTTCCCGGATTCATTCCAAGACCCGGACTTGGTCATTCCCTTATCGCGCCAGCAAGCTCATTGGCATAGGTGTCCTTCCTGGTAAGCTAGATGGGTGCCCCTGGCATTGGAATAAAACCCATACCCATGTCTAACCAAACTAACCGATCAAAAGGACACCTATGCTCAATTGGAATGCTCGGACGACGTTTCATCCCCACTGTCTGGCTTCATGAAAGATGATCTTCTTCCACGTCCCTCGCGTCCCATGCGCGAGCTGAGCTTTTGCCCCTCGCAACAGGCAAGACCAACCCACGTGCACCGCAACTTTCGCCTGAAAGAAAGGTCTTTTGCATCCCGCAGCCGGAAACCATACATCCTCTTCCTTGGGAAGCCAGGGGCGACAGGAAGTCCACTGGACCTTCAAATTGGGCGCCACATATGCTTTTTCATGGTGACTGGTTGGGAAGGGGAACTTCATCTCCACCAGCCATTGAAAGCTTTTTGAATGATACCTAAGATAGCCAAGTTGCTGCTGTGTTCAATCACTGTTGCGTTTTTTTTGGTAAAGTTTATTTTATTATTGAAAAAAAACTGGCTATCCAGGTACCTCACCCCCCCCTCAAAGCGCCTCACACCCCCAAGCACTTCGATGCGAGTCCCCGGCCGAGGCTTCCGGCGCTCCGGCCCGTCCAGGATCCTCTCCACCTCAGCCGCTCGGCCGGGCTGGAGGCCTGCGGCTTCACCGGGACGAGGCCGCGCAGTTCCCAGGAACCGGGAAAGGAAGACCCCCGAGATCCGAGAGGACTTGCGACATCTTCGGAGCACCCAATTTGACATATTCCCAGATGAACAAATCCCCCTTGTAATTGAAGTGGATTGAATGGGTCAGTCTCAAGAGCTGCTTCGCAGCTTTCCCGTGTCAAGTGAGGAAAAATGGGGCGAGGCCTCGCGCACCCGGACTCCGGACTCCAGGCTGGGCCGCTGAGCCCCGCGCGTCCCGCTGTACCTCAGGCACAGGCAGCAAACCCCCAGCCGGCGAGAGGCATGACCTGGGCGACCGGCAGAGCTTCCGGCCAGGAACAGGAGGTGCCGGGCCTCGATCGCTCCATTCGCGAAGCCGGACAGGAAGGCGATGCGCGAGAGTCTCGAGAGATGCGGATTGGAATGCGAATTGGAGAGTCTGACCCCTCAAAAAAAAAACATCCCTTGCTGGTGGTTTCCCTGAAGGGAATTATGTGCTTCATTCCATTTCTCATTCCATTCCATTTCTCCTTTCCGACCTATCGCACCAGCAAGCGCGAGGAAGAGCTTTTAGGAAGCCCAGGTGTTGCCGCTTAGGTTCCCGGCAGTGTGGACGGCATCCGAATGCCGGCGCAATGCCAGCAGGGCCTGGCATTGAATCGGAGAATCGGAGCAGCTCCGCTTCGATCTGTCCGGCGGCTTGCGGCTCGGCGGTTGGAGTCCGAGAAGCCAATGTCTCAAGGCAAGCCGTGCAGAACCCGGCGCTTGTAAACGAATTCCGCCAAATCCCATGACTTGGCTGTGAACCCCAAAATGGCTTGCCCTGGTAAATGGAACCAAATGGCTTACCCTGGTAAATGGAACCAAATCTGCGGTCCATATCCTGGTGCTTTAATTTTGACCCACCCCTCTCAGCCCCTCGGCCCCTCGGCCCCAGCAAAGCCTTGGCTTCGCGAAAGAGGGCCTTGGAGTAGCTGGGGTCCGCTACCACGGAGGCTTTGGCAGCCTGGGACTGTCCCACTGCCCGAAAAACGCCCAAGTGGGGTAGCAAACACGCATGCGTAAGCAAACAGATGTATAAGGATGTCTAGTTCTGGATGTGTGGACCTGTGGTACCCCCACCCCTCGCCCGAAAACAAGGCCATGTGCATGTCTAAACATATACACACACAGATATATATATATATATATATATACATATGTATATATGTATATATATACATGCACATACGTATGTGTACATATGTACATGCAAATAGATATGTATACATATATACGCATGTGTGGTGTGTGTGTGTACCTATCTATACCCATACACACCTGTATACATGCAAATGCCAACGCAGGACCCATAAATGCACCCCCGGCTACACGCTTTCTCGCCTCGAGGGCCAGATCGGCAAAGCCCAGCGTCAGCTGCGCTGCGCTCACGTTCGCCAGCAGCGTGGCCTGCTCCCGGCCCTGCGCGGGGCCTCGCGCTGGCGCGCTGGCTTCTCCCCAGCCACCAAACGCGCAAAGCCAACATAGGTGTCCTTTTAGGGGAAATAGATGGCCCTGGTGTCACCAGGTAAACCAGGGAAACCCATCTATTTTTCGAGCAAAACAACCAAAAAGGAAACCTATGGAAGCCAATTGCTGGCCCAGCCAAAAGGGGCGGGGGGGGGGGGGAGTGGAGTTGCGGGGGGACCCCCACGTTCAGCCACTTAAAGACTTAAGGGGAGGGAACCACATCCGAAACTTCAAGTCGATTGAGTAATTCAATCACCACCGAAACATGGCATCGCTTGAGATGAGATTGTCATGAAAGTGGCTGGCATCAACCGGCAAGATCCACCAAACACTAAAAGAACTGGGCTCTTCCAAAATCCGCGTTCGATCAGAAGGTTGGCAATCAAGGATGGCCCGGTTCAGGCGTGGCTTAAACCAAACAAGCATCCAACTTGACCTGGAAGATGCTTGGTGAATGCCAGCCTAGTCTCAGTCAAGGAACCCCAAGGAACCCAACGAACTCACCTGCCCAAGGCTCCGGGGGAAGCGCCTTTCGCGTCGCCACCAAAAATGGCTCAACTCTGATAGCTGAGTTCGGAAGACTATAAATTCCCCGTAAAACATCACCACCAAGGGGCACCCACCTTTCATGGGCCAAAAAGCTGTTTAACACCACCAAAAGGGAAACAAAGGGATCCCGGTAGACCATGGCCTTCCTTCCCGCCCAAAAAACGGCGCACCCGCGCCTAGGGCGCTCAGCGCTTCCTCGTACTTGGCCACGGCACCGCGGGCGTCCCCCGCACGCAGCAGTGCATTGCCCTCCTGCAAGTGGAAGGCTCGCCGCGCGTGCAGCTTCCCTCTGAAAAAGGGGTGGTTTGGAGCCCGGTGGCTTGGTGGTTGAGGAGGGCATCTACAAGAACCAGGGGTTCAACTCCCCAAACCACCAATCGGGGGGTGCCTGCTCTGCATCAGTCCCTGCTGCCGCCTTGCGCTAACACCCACCTCCCCCCCAGCCTCAATCCCCAAAGTGAAAATACCTTCATCATAGGCAAGCTCGCTTTCCAAGAAGAAGCGAGTTGCTTTCCGCGCGGTGGCTTCACTGCATCCAACAAAAACACAAAACTTTCCCCACCAACCGCCACGAAAGCGCTCGCGAAAGCGGCGCTTTCGTGCGCGTTTTCTGCGAACTCGCAGAAGTCTCCTCCTTCAAGAGGAGGGCTTCCTGCTCGGAGCTGTCCGGCTCGGAGTAGCCCTGCACGGATACCCGGCCCGTCTGATGAGTGTTCTTTTGTTTGTCGTGGAAGGCCCCCCAAAAAAATGGATTCCGACACATATGGCTCATCCCCCCCCCAAAAAAAAAAAAGACGAAAAAAATACCAGATCTCAGGCATGAGTTTCCCAATGACCCCCATGGAAACCGTCCAAGTTTCGGAAGATCCTCCGCAAAGAAAAGAAAAAAGCTTCCAGCCTTCCCTCGATCGAAACCCATCCCAGCGTTAGTCCAAACAGAGGCCTCCATGGAGCATGGCGCGCTTGTGACATGACTTCTGCTGAAGCTCTGTCGAAGGCTTGCGGTGGATCTATGTGTGAGAGTTTGCACTACAGAGCTGGAACTTTTGCGTAGCAGGCTGTCAAGAGACAGCTTGATGCTCAGAAGCCCTGTAGGATCGGCATTTGACACATTCACACATTGCCAACGTCAAAAAGAAGCCCTTTGAACCTTCGCCACAACATGGAGTTCTTTTTGATGGTAAGTTGCCTTTTTCTCGAGCAACTCTCATGACCGGCCGCAGCACCCTTTCCAGCTTGCGGAATCCCGCGAGCAAAGTCTCTGAATGACGCGACTCGCGCTTTGCGAGATCCGAATTTCGCGTGCAACATGGGGCCACCCCATCTCAACATCGTGTCCTTTTGTCTTGTCCTTCCCAGCTTTGAGCTGGAGCCGGCACAAGCATCAGCTTCCCACTCATTAGAGGCTTGGATTGGTGGTTTGGAGGATGGGTTTCCCATGCACCGCAAAAATCACAGACAATTCCCAAGCCAAATCCAAGCCACCAACCTGACGGGTTTTACCTGAAGAGCACACAGTCCTTGCCAACAAACCACACACTTCCCGACACCTCGGCCGTGAAAGGCGCGGAAGCCCCAAGCGCTCGCGCGCGGCACCTACTTCGCCCACAGCGCGTCGGGGTCGAATTCGGGCTCTGCCAAGAACATGGCCTCGCCGTCGCTCCCGGATTTTGGGGCCACCAGCAGCCGCGAACGAGGCCTCAGGACAGTTTCATCAGGCCCTTCGCAGGCAGACCCGGGCCAACTTTGCAGACTCGAAGCAAAGCAAGCGAAACACATGGCTGTGGGTCAAAACCCTGTACCGCTGGTGAACATCAAAATAGGTGGTACATGGGTGTTCATCCGCCCCAAAATGGAGGCATGGGCATGACCCATGGCCACATCTCCCCTTAGCTCCTCACATCTCCCGATGCTCCTCCTCCAGCCTTCGCAAGGGGTGCGCGTCCTGGAGCCGGAGCACCGGCTGGCCGTCGCCTGAATGGCAAAGGATGAGATCTCGGCAAAAAGTCTGCGGGGTCACACTGAAGGACAGCAACCTGGCATCTCCTGGCTTTTGGTTTGTTTGTTTGTTTGTTTGTTTGTTTGTTTGTTTGTTTGTTTGTTTGTTTGTTTGTTTGTTTGTTTGAGTGTTTGATTGTTTGTTGCTGCTTGTTTTTTTGGCGGGGGGGGGGATTTCGTGAGCCCCAGATTCACCTGATGTCTCCCCGTCAATACTCGGACCCAAACCAAACCAAGACTCCGTGAAACCACCCTGCCTCTAGGCAACGCAGGCAAGGCATTCGCCGGGCGGTGCCTCTCGCTCGACCTGAATCACAATCGAGCGCCGCTTCCAGGAACTCTGAACATGCCAATCTCCTTCCCCCCCCCCCCCCCAAGCGCATAGAATGAATATATTAAGTAGGCTAGAACCATGCGCCAAGTAGGCCTCTTGACCAGTTCTGGTTGCGTAAATGAGTTATAGGCCTCTTACCAGGGTTGTACATGAGGACGGGTTATTATCCATGAACATAGTTTGCCGATGGACATGGGCGATTCTGAAGCCCTTTTTGACACATCAAGCCAATAGGAAAAGAGCTGTTGGCTGCCTTCGACTTCAAATTATACCCCGCCCCCCACCAAAATCCTCCTCCCCCTCTCTCTCTCTCTCTCTACTCGGGGTTGTTTCCCCATTCTTTTCCACCTTCTTTGAGAAAACCGGATCCGTTTTCTCAGGTTTCAGGTTTAGAAAGATCCGGATCCCTGGAAAGAATGGGATGGAGGCACCCCGCGACTTGTGGAGTTTTTCCCAGCATTTTGGGTGGAGGAAGCATCTCTCGGCTGGCTGGGACATCCTGGGTTTCCAGCTTCGGCCCCGGCGGCTTCGGCACGGCTTCGCGTCCAAGAGCAAGCGAAGCCTACAAATCCCAATTCGGACGACCTCCCCAGTGGTAGACATAGGGAGCTTGCGTTCATTCACGTTTTTGTTTTTTTTGCAGAAATCACCCTTTTAACCTAACATCGCTTTAAAACCTACCTGGCTTTTTCTTGAACCCAACCCTGGCTTTTATTTTCGGGTGATAGCTGTGAACCCCGCTTAAGAAGAGCCCACTCGTGCACAAGGTGCGCATCAATTTGTGGCGATGCCAACTGATCCCACTAACCTTGCTGGAGGGAATGACCCCGGTGGTTTCCTTGGGGACCAAAGCCTGGGTTCATTCCAATTCTCATTCCCTACCCATCGCAGCAAGTCATGTGATTCCAATGGGAAGCCGCGTGAGCCACAAGCCATCCCCACGGGAAACCTGGCCTCTGCCCGCCACACCGCGTCGCCTCGCCCAAAACTCGCAAGTGGTCCCCTCCCTTTCCACACAAAAAGCGCCCTAAACTTGGCAGAAATGATTGCAGGATGGCTGCAAGGAACCGTTCCCCTCCCTTCCTTCCACCCAAGGGGTGGCCTGAAGCATAGGTCATACATGTCATACCCCCCCAAAAAAGCAACAACCAAAAAACAAAGGTGAATCATCACAAGCAAACCTCGCACGCTGGCATCCGGCCCCCGCCTGGCTCCCAGCCATCCCTGGGAAACGGGAAAGCCGAAAGCAGATGCCGACCCCCGAAGCCATCGGGCTGTTCCCAATCATCCGAAAAATTCTTTCAACAGGGGAAACCAACTACAAAGGGGGCCGGTTCCTTGCGTAAACCCAAGGAAAGGATCTGGCGGATTGCCTTTGAACTGCCCAGATCCCAAAGGAGTCCAAAATGAGGTCACCGCAAGACGTCGGACCCAGGAACAGCCCTCGAAGCCGACCACGGGAGATCGTTCACCGCAGCTGCACGTGGGATCCTTTTGGCAACTAGAGGTCCTTTGAGTCTGCGCATTTCCGCCACGGCTACTTCACCGGTGCGGCACATTGTGTCAACAGCTTTGACCCACCTCAAAGTCCTGACTTTGACACAGGATCACTTGATCATCCAGCGGTGCCGATGCAGCTTCAAGGATAGCACCACTGGATGGGCATAACTACTATGCACCTAACCGCTGTGTCACTTTTTTTCTGTTGTCTTGTCAAACTGTTGTTAGGTTGCTGTGGCCATGATTAGTCATGGAGACGCCTTTTCTTATAAGTATGATGCTAGACTCTTTTACGAGACAAGTGTCACAACTCAAACTCGGTTCTGACTTTGGCTCATGTGGAGTAGGATGCTTGATAATCGCGTGCCTACGATTCCGGCTATCCACGCCCGTTCTCCCAATGAGGGGCGAACCTCTAAGACAGGGATCCGGATGCATTATACACCTGAAAATTGCAACTTCTAAATGGTGGTTTCCCTTTATTTCGGTGGAAAAAGCAACATGTTTCAAATGGTTGCAAAATGGAGATCTTTTAAGGAGTCTAACATGACTTGATCTTCTTCATGTTTGCTTTTCGGGTAACCCCCTGAAGAGTCCGATTCGGCGAGCGGTTGGTGCAACTAACGCGCCGACGTGCGTCGATCTGTAGCGCGGAAAGCCGCGGCTGCTACGAGCTACGCCGCTCAGCGATGCTCAGCGCAGCCGCGCCATGGACAGGCTCAGCAAGCCCCACCTAAGCAGCCAGCGGATACGTCCCCCTGTAGATTCCCTTTACTCGGGCAAAATAAAACATATGCCCAAATGGAGGGATGTGGCGGTTCAACGCCAAATAATCGCCCAAACTGAAACGCCTCAGTTTTTGCCGGGTTTGCGAGCATGAAGGAAGCGGGGAACCCCGTTGAGCGCAAGCTAGACCCGCCAGCGCCGGAGACCTTCGGTTTCGGGAGCCTGGCAACGGCTTCGCGTCCAAAGTCTTCAAAAGAGGAACCTTGAGGACAAACCCTGGCGCAATGAAAGAAACGGACCCCTTCAACCCCCCCCCCCCGCAACTTGTTTCTTGTGAAGTTGATTGTCCAAATCTTCGGATCCTTTCGGAAAACCGTTGGGAAGGCCAACAAATGCAGGCAGGCGTCTTCAATTGAAACCTGAGAAACCAACAGGCCCTCTTAGCAAGCCTTAAGTTATAGCCACGACGTCCACATCGGATCCCAAAGCAAGCTGTGGGGTTCTGCGGGCCACACCATGGCCCACTATGGCCACTTTCCAGGGAATGAGAAATGGGCGTGGCTCAAAATTAAAGAGCCAGGGTTACACAGGTGTTCGTGTCTGGTTTCATCTACCAAGGTGCCTTTTTTGAGTTTCCATATTTTTGAGCCACCGCAAAATTGGTCATGCCTTGGGAGCCGCCCCCTTGTTTCCGAACCCCCCCCCAAAAAAAAACAAAAAAGGAGCCACGGCCTTTTTTGTCATGAGCTGGGAGGCGCCCCCTTGTTTCCGACCCCCCCCAAAACAAGAAACAAAAAAAAGACGATCCCGACAGCCCCCCCCCAAAAAAAAAAAAAAAACAAAAACAAAAAACAACGACAGCCCCCCCCCCAAAAAAAAAACACAACCACACCTCGACCCCTCTCTCGCGACGTTTCCCCTCCCTTTGAGCCGAGTCGCTCCTCCTCCTCCCCCGGGCGATCCCTGCCCGCGCAGTGGCAGCCCACCACCCCGCTCAGCAGCCCGTTGAAGCGCCCGCAGGCCCGGTCCACCTCCGCGGCCATGGAGCTCACCGCCACCTTCTCCTTGTGCCTGACCCCGGAGACATCAAACAGCTTAGAAGGGTCGAGATTCGATTTGGGAGTTGTGTTGGTTTTAGTTTGGGATCTTTTTAATGTGGGGGTGTTCCCTTCCAACAGTGGTTAACCCCCACTACAACCAGGGACACCCACATATTGATAAACAGGGGTGAGAGAATTGGAGTCTAAGCCCTATAAGCCATGCATCCCCGATTTGGTGTCCCTGAAGGGAATCCTCAGGGTCATGCCCATACCCAAATGAGCATCTGCAATTTCTGCTCTAATTCTCAATAGCCGATGGGTCTATTGGTCGGTTTTGGCAGTTTGGCCAAGCCGTTTCTCCGCAACTCCTCAAAAAGAAGTGGCTGGTGGTGGCTTTTTTCATTGCCACCCAAGAACTAGAGCAAATCCAAATCCAAACAACCGACCGAACGGGTTAGGTTCACCAATCCGAATCAGATTCCCTCACTCAAGAAGGATTGGTGCCAAACCAATCCAATCCACCTGACGGGTTACCTGTGCTGTTCAAAATGGGTTACCTTGGCCAACTCGATTTTCCATAATCTCGATCAGCAAGCCACTACCAAAGGGACCGGTTTCTTGCCGTAACCCAAGGTAAGGATCTCGCGGATAATTTTTGAATCGCCGAGATTTTTTGATCTCCTTGCCTCATCTTCTGCACGGTGCGGCAGAAGAGGATGGAATCCGAGGCCACGTCGATGAGCATCATGAACGGAAAGGCCACGACCAGCGCCACGGCTCCCCCGGTCGCAGCCAACAGCACCGGCTGTTGCACGTAGTTGGCGCTCATCACGTCGTGGAGCGACTCCTGAAAACGATGCAGGTGACTGATTCGCCTTGTTTGTCACGTTTTCGGGGGAACCCACCAAGCAAAAAGGGAGAGAGCAAGGTGCCACTGAACAACTGGGATTGAGAAACCTCAACCCTCCCCCTTCGTCTTTGAAGCTTCTTGCAATTGCCCAAGAATACTTCTCTTCTCCTGCCACTTGATCTGGCAATTGGTGACGACGTTGCCGATCACGGCCATGGTGCCCAAGCCCACAATTTGGAAGAGCCAAGTGGCACCATGCAAAACGGACACCGCCTTCGCCTCATGATCCAGGATCGCGATGACATGCTCCGACGCCTCACCAAAGGTAGTGGCTTGAAGGCTCACATCCAGATAGCCGTTCCGCGACATGGGATACAAATGACTCTTGTAGCAATTCACGCAGCAGTCACAGCAGCCCCCCAGAATGCATCCTACCGGGTTGAAGGGATTGCGCGTCGCTGCGTCCAGCCACCCCACAGTGACCCTGAAGGGCATGGAGAGCATCATCTGCAGGCCCCCGCCGATCCTTGGCCGGAATTAGGACCCCAGCAAAAAAAAGTTAGATATTTTTTTTGTTGCCTGGTTAGTGGAAAACAAAAAGAAGAAAAAAAGAAAAAGAAGAAGAAATTCAAAGAGAGTAAAAAATGGAACTTATTCTGGGGAAGGATCATGGTCCCCAGGTGGTACCGCGTGGCCAGCCAAGCGGCCTTGACCACAGATGAGGCCGGCACCACGCCCGCCTTGCGCATGCCGCCGGAGAAGTACCACATCTGGCTGACGTAGTCCGTGATGAAATAGCCTTCCATTTGGAGTTCAGGCCCCAGAAAACAAATGAAAATCTGTCCAGGAGTGATGAGTTCCTTTTAAGACCAACAAGGGAAAATGAAAAGAATCTTAAGCAAATGGAGGTGGCTGAAGGTCCAAAATAGGGTGGCCCCAAAATGGCTTGCCCTGGCAAATGGAAAACATGGACGATCTAAGCTGCGGTCCATATCCTGATCCTGGTGGTGACATTTTTTTGGGCCCAGGCAGCTGTAGGCGTTGATGATGCCCTGGCACCAGATGCCCATGAACAGCGCCCCCCCCATCACGGCGTACTCCAAGCCCGACAGCTCGAAGAACCGCCACTCCCAGCTGTAATCCCCGTAGGAGAGGTTCCTCAGTTGTTCTGTGACAATGGAGAGGGAGAAAACAAAAAGAAACCGGGGAAAAAACTATAGAACAGGTTAAACAACCGGGAAGGGTCACAAATGAACCCTGTACTCAGCGCGCTTTTTCCTTGAGCCATACGCAGTCGTAATGATGAGACTGCGCAAGTGAGACATTCATGCATTGGGGTTTTACATGGTTGATAAATGCATCACGTTACAAACTACACCCCCCGTGCCCGAATGTGAAACAGGAGGACAAATGAAAGGGATGAAACAACCAAAGAAACCCGATCGGCATGAAGTCCTTTTGCAGTACACAAGTTACACAAGCACTTGGATTCGAGCAACCGGCAGTTAAGGTCTTCCGCCTCCACTGACCGTCGCTCTCGCGAGGCGTGCTCATGCACTGTACATTGATCCTCGGCCAACATGGATTGAGAAGTATAATGAATATTGAATTTGAAATGTAAATGGATGTCAGCCGAAGATTGAAATATTGTTGAAGAGATCGCTCATTCATCGCCAATCCCAATTGCGGGAGCTCTTCCACGGGCGCTGATCATCAGACCACCACGAGTCCCAGGATTGGCCCCAGCTTCCCCAGTACGACTGGCTCCATTGACGATCTTGCCATTGGCCACCGGTCTCCCGGAGCTGCGGAATGGGCTTGCGCGTCACACCGACAACTGCAGGGAGCGGGGTGGCTCGTCCAGGGATCTCGATGCCGGGGATCTCCTCTTCGACGAAGCAAAGCAACTCAACCAATACCATTTCGGGGTCTCCCACAGACGAGAAATCCTGGGTCCAGCCCATCACGGGGTAGCGGTTGCTCTTGTCAAGGCTTCCATACAATGCAGCAAATTGTTCTGGTTCCAGAAATCTGCCACCATGCACCACATACACGTCCTTCGGATCAACCTCCTGCACGTCCTCCGTTGGCGGCACCAGCGTTAGCCG